CCAAAATTACATGCTTTGCAGTTTTAAAGTGGCACACACTTAAACTTACAATCATAGTTTATATATATTATTTTACCCAAATTACGTTAGGTAACCTATGTTATTCCTAACATTCTCCCCTTTTGGGTAATATAATAATATATATATCTATTTACAACCTTAACCCATAGTCATCACAACTTTCTTTGTGTTTGACTGCACCTTGGGCTTTTGTAAATTGATCAGCAATATTTTGTTCAGTCATACAATATTCCAATCTTATTTAACCATCCTTTATAGATTGTCTTACATTCAGATATCTAAGATCTGTATGCTTAGATCTCGTTTTCACAGCAATATTTGTAGCCATCTGTATGGCTGCTTGATTGTCCTCATACACTATAATGGAATCATTAACAGTTAATCCCATATCCAATAATAACTGTTTATACAGAATTAAATCAGTACATAATAAGGATAGACATGAAAATTCTGCTTCCACTGTGGATATATTTATGTGTTGCTGTCTAATTGACCTCCAACCAATCAATGCTTTTCCTAGTAGTATAGCCATTCCTGAAGTTGATTTCCTAGTGTTTATATCTGTTGCAAAACTTGCATCAGCATATGCACTTAAAATCAAATCATCTTTTGGCTCCAAATACAGTGCATAGTGCATTGTCCTTTTAAGATATCTTAAGATACGTTTTGCCGCTTGCCAGTGTCGTTCAGCGGGTTCAGCGTTGAATCGAGCCAATTGATTAACGCTAATAGGCAATATCTGGCCTTGACCAATTACTAATGTACGATAGACTACCAATTAGCGACTGATAGTCTTATTGAATTTTGAACTCTGAGCATCAGTGCAGCAAAATTCCTGACTCATTGGAGTTTTTGCTGGCTTACAAAGTTCCATCTTATATGTTTTTAGTAATTGATAAATCTTATCCTCTTGAGATATCTTATAGCCACCGTTGGTTTTATTTATTGTCAATCCGAGATACTGTTTTATCTCTCCTAATTGCTTTAATTTTATCCTCTTACCTAATAATGATATTATTTCAGTAGCTTCATTATTAGTTTTTGTAATTAAAGCAATATCATCTGTAAACAACAATAATAATGACACTATTCCATTTGTCTCTCTTTTAAATAAACATGGATCAGCTAAACCTGCTTTAAACCCTATATTGTTTAACTCCTTAACAATATATTGGTTCCATTCGTAACCAGATTGTTTTAATCCATAGAGACTCTTTTTAAGTTTCCAACAGTCATTATTAGTTTTATCATCCTTAATCCCTACAGGTTTCTTTAGGTATATAGTGTGCTGCAATGGTGCATGCAGATAGGCAGTTTCTACATCTAAATGATTTATGACATAGTTTTTCTTAGCTGCCCACACTAAAGCTGCTCTCAAGGTTGTTGCTTTTAGACTTGGTGCAAACACTTCATCATAATCACATGCAGTTTGATTAAATCCTTGAGCTACCAACCTAGCCTTATGGGTAACAGTCCCATTTGTACCTGTTTTTAATTTAAATATCCATTTGCATCCAATGGACTTTTCACCTGGAGGTAATTTAGCATTCTCATAGACTCCCATCTGTTTTAATGAATTCAGTTCTTTTTGCATTGCTGTATGCCAATTCCCTTGATCCTTTGCAGGATACATTTTTAGTTCTTCCACAGTAGTTGGAATTTTACTAACTTGGCAAACTACACTTGCTTGGTACCTATCAGGTGGTCTGCTTTCTCGTGTTGACCGTCTAGGTAGTACAGGGCTTACAGGTGGACTTTTATCTATCATCTGTTCCTGGTTATCTATTTCTTCTTGTTTTGGTCCTATTTGCTCTTCCTTTACTTCCTCTTTAATTGGACTTTTCTTATTACTGATATGGTGGTTTGGTCTTTTGTAGGTTTCTATAATTACACGAATCTTGCTCCAGTTTTTCCCATCCTACATGTTCCAGGAATTGTGCACTAGCACTACAATAAATTCTAATTGTGCCCTCTTCTCAGAACCTGTAAGATTTATGGTTAGATTCGTAACCTACAAAAAATAATCTTTTAGCCCTATGCTGTCCCTTATGTCTCAGTTGTGTAGGAATATGCACCCATGCTGGTGCTCCAAATGTGTGCATGTAGCTTAGGTCAGGTTTTCTACCATGCCACCATGTGAATGGTAATTCACCTGTTGTTGAGTTAACAACATTATTCAATATATGATTACCACACATTATTGCTTCTCCCCACAAATTTTCAGGTAATCCTGAATCCGACAACATAGTACGAGCCATTGCCTGTAGTGTTTGGCCTCGTCTTTCTATAAAGAAATTATGTTGTGGCCTATATGGTGCAGACCTTTTATGTTCTACACCTGCCATCTTCAGTCTATTTTGGAATTTATTATTTATAAATTCCGTACCATTATCAGTTACAAGATTTACTAGTTTCCTTTTAGTTTTTCTTTCTGCAAACTTCAACCAATTAAAGAAATTTTGATATGTTTCCGTTTTACTCTTCATTAAATAACAGAAACCATATCTAGAATAATGATCCATTATACTTAATATATAACGAGCACCTCCCACACTTGG